TTTAATGATGTGACAGTGAATAAAAAAAATAAAAAATAAAAAACACAAGGTTAAAACATCACATCATAATGGAATCCACTTCTATTAGAACTTATTTATTAGAGCTGCCAATCATTTTTGAAAGACCAAATGAGTGAAGTGTACCAATTTGAAACCATCATGGGCTATGCATTGATGAAAACTACAAAGCATTGTACACATGTAATTTGGAGAGGCATTTTGTGTAAGGGGGACATGGTTTGCACTATTAAGAATGGACCTAGGGTGTGTAAGTAGGGGTCACAATCATTTTTTTTTTTTTATTTCAAAAATTCTAGTACTAATTATTAACTGTTTTCAAACTTTATAAACTTGCCCCTCTAGATTTAAATTATTATTTTTTTAAATAGTTGGCACCTCTCTATTAATGTATACCCAAAATTGTTAATCAATATATAATTAGATATGTTTGTAATTATATTTTATTTTTTATTTGGAAAACTTTGAATATAATATCAAATTGGGCCCAATATGCATTAGTGGAGAATATGAACTAACTCAGTTGAACAATCATATGCTCAATCATTGTTAAGGGCAAAGATTTATTATTTTTCTCTCTATTATGGAGGTTGTATTATGCTGTTTATTTCTTCCCATTATTTGTTGAGCTTGAGTTTTTTTTTTTTCCCTTCCATTATAGGTTATTTCTTCTGGTGATTGTTAATTGTCCATATTAATGTAATTACTATCATATTTATAATTAATCTCTTATCAATTAACTAAAAAAAATTAAGTAGTCCAACCCAATGAACCTAACATTAGAATTAAAAACAAACAAATAAATAAATCCTCAATAGCATCTCACTTAAACAACAAAGTAAATGAGCAATTAGTAAAGTTCTTTTACTTATTTTACATAAATGCTTTTAGTATAAAAAAAAATTGTAAATTTTTATAACTCAAATTGAATACAAAAAAATCTGTTTAATCATATATATTTTGATTTTTTTTATGTCGATAGAAATTAATTTTGAAATTCATATTTTCTTTTCAAATTAAGATTTTATTATCAGTAATAATATAAATTCAGACTTAACTATTCAGAAATTATCTAAAATTATTCAAATTTATTTTACAAACAGATCTCACACTATATAAATTTAATTTCCACCAAACAATCATCCACCTAAAAGATTTTAAATGGATAAATTTAGTGAGCAAACTTTCCTTTTATTATAGGGCGAATTACACTAACGATTTTTATAGTTTTTCCCATACCTTGAATGTGAAGGAATAGAAAACTCATGTATGGATAATATTCAACAATCACAGAAAGTCAAATATTTGAAAAGATAATGAAAATTATATATAAATAATTTCTAAAGCACCATACAATGGTTCAAACCTTTTCATAATATAAAATCAAAAAAGAAAACTACATAATTACATGGCTAGGGTTTCATCAAAACCCTAGAAAAGAAGACTAGTCACTCATGGAGGCGTGGAAGGAGGTAGAATGAGAAGGAACAACCATGGGAGACATCTTTTAAGCTTCTTGTTTCTTCCTCTTTTTGCAAACCCTAGCCTCCATCTTTAGGTCAAAACAATTTCAGAACCCTAATCCAGCCTTTTCCTTGCCTTTTTATACTTCCAATCTCGTCCAAACAGGTTTAAAACGTCGGTTTGACTTTCCCAGAAAAAGTCAACGCACGTGCGGAAAAGTCAACGCACGTGGAGAAAGTCAACGCACGTGCGAAAAAAGTCAACGCACGTGCGGGAAAGTCAATTCTGCCCAAATTCTGTCTTTTTGCTCATTTTATGCTCCGACGATGTACAACCTGATTGACACTCAACACACATAAAATATACAGTTTGACCAGCAAGTGAAGTTAAAGCCTTTTCCTTGCCTTTTTATACTTCCAATCTCGTCCAAACAGGTTTAAAACGTCGGTTTGACTTTCCCAGAAAAAGTCAACGCACGTGCAGAAAAGTCAACGCATGTGCGGAAAAAGTCAACGCACGTGCGGAAAAGTCAACTTTGCCCAAATTCTGTCTTTTTGCTCATTTTATGCTCCAACGATGTAAAACCTGATTGACACTCAACACACATAAAATATACAGTTTGACCAGCAAGTGAAGTTAAGAGATTCTAATTAACGGCCTCAATAATGTACATTTCGGCCTTAATCACATCCCCCAACTTACTACTTGCTAGTCCTCAAGCAAGTAAAATAAAATAAAATAAAACAAAATCTATCTGTTTCCTCTTTCGTGGGGAAAACGGTTGCATTTAGCATATGCAACAAGCCTTTAAACCACAAGGTTACCCCAAGTGGACGAGTAAAGTCTCGTGAGGGTTTCCAGAAATGATACCCACAAATATTATCATATTCATATATACCCAACAACAAATGACCACACTACTCCACCTAAGAATCAACTTATGTGCCACTACAGTGTGATATTTAGACATCATGAGTCATTAAAGGCACAGTGGACAAGCATGAAGGAACCTATTGAGTCAAAACCACAATTCAGTTAATACAAAAGTAAAGTTCCCTATACTTGTGCATGCTAGTAGACAAGTCATGAGTACCCTCGGTGTAAAGTGCAATCTCCATATTAGTTAACTATCCACTATAATAGCCCAGTGTAACTCATAATAACACCCATCATATACAGAAAAACTAACCTGTTGCAGCCAAGATTTTCAAAAGTTTTTTTTTTTTTTTTTTAAATGATTGTGCAATGTCCTGATCCATTAAGCTTTCTAATCAACCCATGTAACAAGCATTAGGCCAATGACTCCCAAACCAGACGGTTTTAGGGCACTAGGTGGAAAGACACCCCTACGGGCTTAATAACTCGAGTTAAAAAGGCTACGGACCCAAATCAGTTAAGTGTTTTTTTTTTTAGGAATCTTGGCTCCTCATTTATTCTTTTCTGCAACTATAGCTATTATCAATGATGTACACTAGGGATTATAATAAAAAGATCACCGCTATGATAGTGTGTTCATGTGAATTAAGACATACTCATGACAAGTGTACTAAAATCACAAACACAGACAACTCTCCTCGTGCAAACATCACATGCAAGTATCTACCCAATAAACCCTTTTCATACAAGTCTACTATGATCTCCAAATAACATATGCAAATATCATCACCCTACTAGTAAAAAGTCACATCAGGTGAAGTAATGCAATCAAATGAAACAGGTATAAGCATGAATTATGAGCCAAATAGGAATGCACAAAAGAAAATATAACCCTCATCCCCCCAACTTGAAAATGACATTGTCCTCAATGGAAAAGTAAAGAGAAATGAGAGAAAATTACTAGAATTGTAGGTGCACATCCAGGCAGGCAGAGAGTAACATAAGGCAGGTAGAGAGTAACATATACACACTTCACTTTTTTTTTTTTAAAACAAAAAAGAAAAAGGAAAATAAAAAGAAAAATAAAAGAGACAAAGAGGTATACAGGCGGGGACTACGGAGAAGCCGGTGGTGGTGGTGGTGGGAAATGTTGGGCAAACAAGGCTTGCATCAAAGCGCGCGTCTCGAAGGCGTTATCCTGACCCTGTTGCTGGATTGCAAGGTTGTCGGCGTGTAGCTGATCGAAGCGCGCCTGAGAATAGTCGCGATGAGCCTAAAAATCCGTGCGCAACTCCATGAGACTCTAGTGGTGATCACGACGAGTACGGTGGACCTGATCGACAGAGTGCTGAAGCTGTAAGTACTCCTCGCGAGTCATGTAGAGTGGGTCCCCTTGGGGAGGCACGGGGGGTACAGGATGAGCTGGGTGGTCATGGACGGGGTCCTGGGCCTCATCAACCGGGGCACCTACCGGCTGCGGGATGCGAGATATGCTGTGCTGCCATTCCCGCTGACCGAATGTCGGATACCCTCTATCAATCTCCTCATCCTCAACAATGGGGAGGTGGTTCTGCTCAAACACAAGTGTCAACAAATTGGCGAATGGTAGGGGCCAAGTCAGGTTCTGCATAGGAGTAGGCCGAACTGCCTCACGTAGAAATTTCTGCAAATGCAGCAAAATGAAATCCTCAAGCGGGACCTGATAGCCAAGCTGATACCCGTGTAAAACCCGCACAAACTCCAAACGGCGCTCAGCTCGATGCCCAAGTGGAAGGACATTCTTATGGACCACGGAATCAAAGAGAAGCAAGCGGCTAGGTAGCTTGCTTCGCCGCAAGCATGTGAAACTGGGGTCACCGTGGGCTCCCGGGAAGTATTGCTGGATGAAAATTTAGGATTTCATTTTTTAAAATTTGATGAAAAGTAGCTTATCTTTCTGTTCTAACAGTTTCATCAAATACGTATCAAATTTAAGATTTCATTTTTTTTTTAATCAAATTGAGGACCAATGTGTCTTTCATTAAATTCGTTGGATTTACACCACCAGAGGTTCTTGGATGACCACCTCAAGGCAAACATTTATGAAAAATTTATACTGGCCAGTCGATCGGCTTGAAATTGCCTGGTCAATCTCTAGATGATTATGTCAAGGTAAAAAATTGTGAAAAATTACACTAGCCGGTTAATTGGCTGGACATTTGCCCGATCATCCACTCAGTTGACTGGTGTTTTGATGAAATTTAAAAAACCCTCCGTTGAAACATTTATATTAGATGGACCTTTTATTTAAATTTAGTGAAAATTTTGATGCATCGTTAGACGGGAAATTATTTAATAATTCCAGAATATTATATGGCTATATTCTAAACCAATTACCAATTACTTAGCCCTCATATTGTTTCTTTATTTCCAACATAAATCGTGAGCCTCTACTAATCAAAACGTTATGGAGCACCACGTGTCCATACTCCGGAAATACTGAATAATCACCCGTGACAACATGCCAATGTATGAAAATGATGTTGCTAAAGTTTCCAACCTTACTGAAATAATAACTTCTATTTGTCAACAAAATAAAAATATCCTTCACATTATGTTGTTTTAGCATCTTAGATTTGCGAAGGAATTTGTAGAGGGATAAATAAAAGAAAAGGAATTTATGAAAGAAAACAAATATTTGATTCACTTTTCCCTTTTCTTTTTCTTTACTCTCCACAAATCCAAAATCCAAACACCACCCTAAAGTTCTCTAAGAAAAACAGAGTTGGTTACAACCCAGTTGGGAATTCTAATCACATATCACTTTCACACAAGTTCAAGGTGCCTAACTGAAAAAATATTAACTATATCACTTTCACACAATTTCATGGTGCAGAACCTAACTGGAAAAAAAATAACTATGGTTTTCTGCAATCAAACAAGCTGTAACTTTAGTTAGGGTCGGATATCAACCAACCACGGGCCAAGAACGACAATCCTTGATCTTCTCTCATAATGTACACTAATCTAATGCTGTAGAAAAAACTCTCATTTTTTCATTAGATAACGGGAATTAAATCAAAACTTATCTGTGTAGTGATGAAGACACGGACGAAAGACTAGGGCATACCAAATGTGGACAAAGCTGATTGGAACAAAGCTGAGAAGGCCGGAGACGTAGTCTGATCATCAGCTTTGATCTTTAGTTGAGCTTTACATGATGACGAGTTGATTACGCACTCTACAAGAAAGGTAGACGAGTCCTCTGCTTTTTGTGCAAAGAAGAAGAATTTGAAATTTGGGGCTTGACCACCTGAGGCAATGCAGTGGATGGACTGTCCTTGCATGTGCTGGAGGAGGGCTTGAGGGGTTGTCAATGCTGCCACTCCTTGTGGATTTATATTGTATTCCTGCAAATAAATAATAATTGAAATGGAGCTCAAAAAAAGTTTGTCGATTTACATGCACAGATACATAGTACACACACACACACATATATATATAGAGAGAGAGAGAGAGAGCATCAACAAGAATATAATCAACTGTGTTACATGGACTCTTTTATTTCCCCCAAAGTACCCGCGTCCACAGGATCTGACAAGGGTAAGAGTGTGGAATATGTGTCTACATCCGCACCCAATTTAGACACTCAGATCTATATTTTGTTACAATATATGAAGAAGAAAAAACTCGCATTTGCTAGTGAAACAATATTTTTAGCCTCTCACATGAATTAGAGCAAGAAATTTTATGTTTTTCTTGAATTCTATTTTATTTCTAGTATATTTCTATATAATTTACAACATCTAATCTAAGAATATTATACAATATGCAATATATATATATACATATATGTATATGATGCATATTTCCATACCCATATCCAATTTTGGATATGTTTCCCAAGGGCCTAAGATTTTAGTTTATGAAGGTTTGACACTTGGATACACATCCGCATCCGATAATTGTATCCGATACTCGTACCCAAGTCCACATAACGTAAATAATCAATGTAAATGGACAATAATCAAATTAGTGATACAAAGTTCAAAGCAAACCTGTGATACTGATATTGGTAGTTGGCGCCATTTCTGCTGAAAAGTGCTTGGATCTAGAACAGATCTTGCATTAAGCTTCAAAGGTGGTGGTGAAGGAGCAGGATTAGGTGCAATTGCCAATCCTAGACCAAGGAGATCATCAATGGCCAAGCTGGCTTGCTCAGAATGTGCTGGTAATGGTTGATTTGTAGAGGCATCATATGAAGGAGCACTATATGCAGAACCATTGCTACTGGGAACTCTACTTTCTTCCTTCTCTGAAGTACTTAGAAGGAGATCGTTGTCATTTGCCTCGACCATCTGGGCAGACACTACATTACTGACAGATTCAACTCCAATGGATAGATTTCCTAGTTCTTCTGAAAAAGCAAATGGGCCTCGGTGCTCCTTATCAGTAAACATGTAGGAAGGCTGCAAAATTTTCAGACTTACAATTAACGTCTATATATCAGAATAATGCTCTAATGTTCACCAATGTTACAAAAAAAGCAACATGATTAATTTTGGCAATGCTAATACATTGGCATTTATCAAGTACCTGCATGCTTTCAGTTTCTAAATCACATACAGATAGCATCCCGTGGAAACACACCCCTCATGGCAATGCGCAAAGGTAAGTGTCAGGTTATCGCATGTTCAAAGCACATAAATCTCAATAAGAAATTGTTTCAGCTATTTATAGTGTCAATTTCCAGCAGAATTATACCAGGAAAAAAGGGTAATTAACCTGCTGGACTAATATCCCTTCATCACAGGTCTTACACAACAAAAATTAAAATGTCGGATCCCAAAGTTCATAACAAAGAAAGTGTCCTCTTGCATGTTAACAAGCAATATTTTTTCTCTTCTTATTTGTCTTTTTTCTCAAATTCTATCAAGGTGAGCAGCTTAATAAGGTATACAAGCAAAGGCGCACACTTTAAACTCTGCCTACGGTACAAACACCTCAAAAAATTACCAGATAGAAGGTGAAATATGTGAGGCATAAACATTGTGGTGAAAATTGTTTGAAAGCTGTGTATTATATCTCAAACACTATAAACTTTCCATGGACCAGGGGACATAGAATCCTTCCTGTCTAATTACGACCTTCAGGTTTGACTATGAATTTATTCATTCATAAACTAAAGATACATATTGTATGAGTAAATTTCAAGTGTTAAATTTGTCACTTATTTCAAAGTGAATTACAAAGTGATTCCCAATGCATGAAAATTTAAAATGAAAACTTATGTTCAAAAGCCTCTTCCAATATCTCAGTCTCCTCTTCACAATATCTACCATTATAAAGACCATAAAGCTGGTACAAAAATAATATTTGTCTACAGATCTTGCAAAGGTTTGTTGAGATTCAAGATTTCAAGTTACCTTCTGGTATATAACAGATAGACTGTTGAATTCATCAAATATCCGATCTTTGATTTCACTACTCTGAGTATCTGCAAAGACAGAAACGGCTTGCTTCGGAGGATTCACCACATTTTCTGCTACAGAAACATTATATTGCAAAAGTCTGTAGTAGAATAAGGCTCTATCATGAACATCCTGCAGCCAACCAAGAGTCAAAAACACTGACAAACTTCAATCAAAATTTCTAAGCTTATGTAAATAACACAATTATCAACCCAAACCTGATGAAAATCAGCAAGACCAGCAGCCAAAGCAACTCCCAAGGCTTTCTGAGTCTCAGGTGGCCTTCTCAAGAAACACTTCATTACGGCTGTAAGAAGATGCAAACGAACCTGCGAAATAATAGAATCGAAAACTCAAATGATGCAGCAATTAACAATACAATACTAATGATCTAATTTTCTAGAATCCAAAAGGCAATAAATTAGCATTTGAATACACAGTTTAGTATTCAAACATTAGTTTCAACAGAGCGCACCAAAGACACACACACAAAAAAAAAAAAAGAGAAGTAAATGCAATCAAAGTGTTCCCTTTATCAAACAAATCAATAAATAAAAATTGGATAACTGGAATTTACTTCTTTTATAGAACAAAAAAAAAGTAAAAAACTAATCTTTCGTTAGCCAGTATTGAAGCAAATCTAAATGTGATCTCAAGTGGGAGAAGACCTTTTTAAAGAAAGTTGAGTCCAATGCACGCACAAAATATTAAAGAAGAAATACAGACACACTAAATATGTCAGTGACAGAAGGTTTTGTAAACAATGGAACATTTTAACAGTGTTCCAACTTATCGAAAAATAAAAATAAACAGAAGCAGCAGCGAAACAATCGTATGAGGACCAAAATTGAGCTTGAGATTGCCATCACAGATATGGATCCAAGCGTAGTGAAATGGCAGACAGACAATTGGCTAGGCAAAGTGATGGAAACTAGTTTTGAAATGAGAATTGAAAATTGGCATGACACTCAATCTGTGCTATAAACAGAGCGGAATGGCCAAACAGATTTTAAGCAAATGACAAAATATAGCACTTTAAGTTGAGATTTGGTAATAATTTATGATCAGAGAAGATGCAAAGGTGTTGCATGTGACGAGGAATGAAGTATTGTGGAAATAGACATGGGATGCCAGGCACAACAATTCTCTACCTTCTACAGACAGGAACAAGGACATGGCCACATGTTTAAAACTGTACTGTATTAATTTTTAAAAAAAAAATACATAAATTTGTTTTGAGTTTGTGCATTCATGTGACAAACATTAAGAGTGAAAATATAAAATATTTTATAGCTTCAATGTGAAGTTATTGGACAAAAGGCATGATGTGTCTCTCCATAACAGTGTCCGTTGTCCAAACAATACCTAAGGCAGGTGGAACTCATGTCATAGGGATGGCAATAGGGAGGGTTAAGCATTCAAGCAGCCCTCCCTTGGCCCCGTGATCCCACTCGAAACTACAGCCTGGCCTGTTCAGAGACATGATTCATAGAAAGCTTAATACCAATGACATGATTCATAAGTAATTATCTTTGACTTCCACAGTGGTGCATCTTATGTAGGAAGCATGAAGAGAGTATTTATTGACCATCTACTTTTGCATTGCCACATGGCTTTGCCATTATGGCGCAAAGTAGAAATTTAACATAAAACTTACAACCAAGGAACAAAAATATATCTTACAATATATTTATATATAAAATACATAAATGTTCTCCTAGATGCTCCCAACATTAGACTCTTCTAAGTGCCCCCGCCTCTGCTTCATGCAACTAAGATCCAAAACCCATAAAATCCCTCGCTGTTTGGTATGAAAAGTTCCATCCCTGCCTTTACCTGGATGATGCACATACTAACTTTGTCCAAACCGTGCAAAGTATCTGGTTATACCAATCTGGCCATCCCTATGTCAATAAGCAAAAGAACCACACAAAGTTCATGTGGGAGGGGGAAAAAATGAATAATTTAGCAAATCTGCACTATTTCTAATTGTCCTAAATTTACTTGTATGTATTCTCTCAGCCTTTTATGACTTCACCTTTAGGTAGTCAGAAGTGAACCTGCCCCATGTTGAACTGATATCATTGTCAATCAAATAAAGTTTAAGAAGGCGGGCAGCTATCCAGATAGAAATTTGTGAGTTTGTGTGTGTTGGATATTTATTTCCAAAAAAAATCAGGTCTTCCACAACTTTTAATCAAAGTCCCAACTTGTTTAAAAATCTGCTTGCCTTTAGGTGGCTCCAAAAGCAAAACCCAAAAACAGTTCATAGGACTGTTATAAGGAGAATCTGTGTCTAGATTTCAAAGACATCAAATCAACCTTTTGCATTTGGCAAACTAAAAGATTCCTCAACTCAATCAGCCAAGCATATTAGTTAAAAAGTAAAAAGTAAAAAATAAAAAAAAATCCAATCAATACTGACTCTTATGAGAAAAGCCCAAATGAAGGTGTAACACGTTAAGTAACATAGATAAAATTCACCCTTGTGATACCTCAGCAGAATGCTCATCATCCCAGCTGTCAATTAGACTTTCCAAGACATAAGGAGCATCCTGCATGTCTTGACAATACTCTCCCAACATCCAAATAAGAGCTGCCTTAGCTTTTGGTTCTTGAACATTTTTGCTGCTGATATTCCCAACAACTGCAATACAATCGTGGCTCCATTGAGGATATTTCCTGAGAAGATCTTTTACAAGCACCTACATCAAGAACTCTAAAGTTGTAATAATCTGGACAACAATACTAAGAAAGTTTAAATTGCACGCATTTACAATTTCACATTGTTGGCATTGGAGATATTATCAAATTGAACATTGCAAGTGTTCAGCAAGCACAGAAAAATTTTACCAGAGTTTCAGCTGTCACATAGTCCTTTTCCATCTCCAGAAACTGAAGCAGTCTGTCTACAATAGCATTCACATCATACTGCTGCAGAGCTATTTTCCCAACAGCTCGAATTGACTCTCTTGCAATGGGAATATCAACATTTGCAGCATATTCACATAATTCTGTCACTGAAATGGACTCAACAAGATTACAATGCATCAGTCATACTTGAATAGTTCACAAGAAAAGACAACACCTGCGACCAAAAAATGGGTCACCAACAAGGACAAAAAGATTTGCCCATGCCAGCTATTTCTGTGAAGCATTATGTGACTGCTATGGTATTTCACTTACCAATTTCATAAGTATTGCTCTCATTGGCCACCGCAGTCAACATGTCAAGCTTCAATTTCTTAACATAAAATGGATCATTGTATTGGCAATAGAAGTGTTTGTAGTCTGAAGAAAATAACATAGGTGCACGCATCACGAGAAGATGCAAGTGGCCCAGTACTGCATAAGATTGCTCTGGACTCCCTGAGCTCACTAAGGTAAGCAAAGGTGCTTTGATACGCTCATAAACCTAAAGAACAATAACATTTTGATTAAGAAAGTGCAAATCTTCTCAAATATAAGGAAGAGATCAAAGACAGAGCCCAGCAACCCTAATATAGCACTTGTGAAAACTGTAAAATTAATTGCAATGAAAAGCAACCAATAAAACTGGATTGAAGACTATTACTTTCATACAATATGTATATTCAAAATTTAAAGATAGAAATAAGATTATAAATTAACAATGGATTTCATAAGGAGAATATAAGAGCAAATGATTTAAACAGATGCACTACAACTGAAAAAGGTCATCATCTCACATCAGCATTTAACACCAATAACACATTGATAAAATATAGGCTATATAGCACAATGATATATACGTACATAAGCTGGGGGAGGGTGCATTACCAATTCTGTACTTTATGTGAAGGAATTACTCATGGACTCAAGCCCAAGAACAGCTTATATTACTGGAATTGAAGTTGAAATATCTAGGGAAGTCGGGATGCATCACATGAAAGATTAGGTGCAGCTTAGCTGTATTAATTAAGCAGTATCAACTATAACAACAGACCGAACTTTGAGATTTCTGTTCAATATTTAGGTAATTATTATTACCCAATGTGTGTACCCAGTGTGCAAGGCTCCACTTACAGCAGATTCTAGGTCTTAGGCCTCGTTTGGCAACCGAACTTTTTAGTCAAAAAGTTAAAAAGTTACTAAATTAGCCAAAAAGCCAACAACACATACCAAAAAGTCAAAAATTCTCTTTTCTCTCTACTTTTTGCACAACTTTTCGTAAAAAATCAAAAAGTCATCCCAAACATACTAGTTTTTTTTAGCTCATATTTTAGCCAAATAGCCAAAAAGTTACTAAATTAGCCTGTTCCCAAACGAGGCCTTACCCCACTTTTTGAATTAGCTATGTAGTTAACCAACTACATGGCAAAATAGCACAGCCAATTAAAAACTGAAAATTTTTAATCTGACTGGGGCTTTCGCTACATCAAATGTACTTTCTCTGACCTGATAGACAACCACATCAAAGCAATGAGGGGCCATTCAAATGAGAGACGATATATAACATATTTTGGTGGGTTTTCCAATTATTTAATTTCTAAACAACAATCATAGCTTCTCTCATCTGCTGTTTTGAAAGTACACATCTAAGCAATGAGGGGCCATTCAAATGAGAGACGATATAAAACATATTTTGGTGGGTTTTCCAATTATTTAATTTCTAAACAACAATCATAGCTTCTCTCATCTGCTGTTTTGAAAATATAGTATACACGTCGCAGGAAAGCACCAGAGAGGTGGGCTTAGTGGCATCGCAACTGTGAATGGACTGTTTGCTTCCTGTTTGCAGTTCTCAGATGGGTTGAACTTCTTGCATGACATTCTTCCCTCAACTTTCTTCCCCTAAATCTTTGTATTACTTGCTTTTTTGAATTCTTTCTACCCCTAAGGATGAGAATAGCATGAAAATGCTGTTTTTAGCCTGTACGTCCTTTCTTCTTATTACTTTTTAAGCTGAAAATCAGTTTCATATCCTTGTGCTATAAGTGCTAGGCAGTCAACTTCATGGAGCTTTGTGGGTCTCTTTACACTCCCGATTGACTTCATAGAGCTTTTATTTGATGGCTGTATGTACCTTCAAAAACCATGGCCCCTAAAGGATTTGCCATTTGGTGTCATGGTCAGCATTTAAGGGGAAAAGTTTGTCCTATTTTCTGGTTGCACAGTGCGTGTTCAATTGTGCTGAGGCTTGCACTCTTCTGAAATGCTGAAAGAGGTCAAAGACTCGCTAGCTAATTTTTCGACATGAAGAAATTAAAAAAAAAAACCACAATGCAGAGTTGATCCCACCACTGCAAGGTGCAAGAAGTACTTTGTTCATCTGGGACTCCAAGCCATCTATTGCCACTGTAAATTAGACCAGAATAAACATTTTAGAATAGGCCATATTTTTGTTTATGATATTTTTCAATTGGCCTTTCCTACTTATCCTTTCTTTTACTGGTAATTTTCCTCTTAAAAGGCTGCACAGTGTTCAAGTTCTCTGGTCTCCCTTTCATATATATTTCTTCATTACTCACTGACAAATATAAAATTTGATTATATTTCAGCATGAATGGAACACAGGTGCAACAATCCTATGCACTGTAGAAGTCAAAATTGCAAGCCACTGCAAGTTTTTATTTGAAAATAAAAGTCACAGGGTCTCATTATGTAGATAATTTATAAACTATAATCATGAAGCACAAAGTATTAGAACTTGAAAGCCTCAAAGGATTCAGAAGATACCAAATTAACTCATGGCATTTAGATGAATGATATTAACAGGCAACAACCAATGCAGCAAGAACTGGAAGGATGATCAAAACTCAAATAGCAACACATCAAAAAACATCACTGATTGACAAATACAATGGATCTCCTGTACACAGAAATGTTATTAATGAGCATAATACTTGAATTAATAGAGACTAATAACACACTATTCCATAATACTTGAATTAATAGATCAGTAAAGGTATGTTTTAATATGAACCAGCATATCAACATTGCTTGAATTAAATGATCAACAAAGAAATGTTATTAATGAGCATCCTCTCAAGAACATTTAGTAACAAACTTTATCATTATTACTTGAACCAATAAACAAAACAATGGAATATCAAGACAGGCACCTGTTGATGAACATCAGTCATAGACAACGTCAACTGCAGAAACAACTTAATGGTTGCTAAGACAACTGCACCATTTGCATGTTGAAGTCTGTCTTCAAGAAGATTCATCATGTCAAATATCTCATTGGTATCTGCAGGTACATATTTGGATACCAATTCAAGGACGAGACATTGGGCCCATTCGGTGAACTCCTTGATTCTGGATATAATAACGTAATAAAGTTAAAGAATCTTCAGTTTCACAGCTAAAATCCAGAAGGAAACATATTAGAAAAAGACTTCCAATACAGCATAATTTTCTATACATTTGCATATACCACATCAAGCAATTAGAGAATCAATCAAGCACATTTTTAGTCCTTGCCGGAAAGAAAACAACGAACTCTAGTGACGGTTGTCGTTGATGGCATCTGGCACTGCAAAGGATTTGAACATGGGACGTGTGGGTGGCTGGTTGATCTTGACGAGAGACAGACAACAGCAAGGGTTGATTTGATTGCGACCAAAGTGGTAATTCCGACTTTCCGTCACCACAACGTACAGTTATGGTGACAGTGGTAATGTTGATGGCGAGCAAGATAGTGGATGGATTTTTTTTTTTATTCTTTTTAAGCTTGGTTCAGAAATTAGGGAGAAGGAAGATAATGGTGATCGGAGCCTAAGCTCTAATACCATAATTGATGCAGAACAGGAAGGGGGGAAGATGGGATTAAAGGACATAAGAGCCATAGCCCTAAACACAGTCCACAACCTTAACAACTCTCAATTCATTAATCATACTCCATACATTGTCAAAGCCTTTATTTATAGGCTAAACAAACCTTAATTAAATAAGGAAACTAGCAACCTTAATAAAATAGGAAAACTAAATATTAAAGAAAACTGAATACTGAATTAAATATTAAGTAATAAGGACAATATTTAATAAAATTGAAAATAAGGCCTCCGACGCTGGTCCATAAATATCATTCTGCATCAACCCTTCATTATCTTGCATAGCCATCTCAAATCCCCCTCCAACAACTTTTTACCAATCTTGTCACACCCTTCTCTCTCTCTACCAACCCGAAACCCTTTTTGAGACCATCATCTTCGTTGATCAGATCAAAAGGTCTTCCATTGAACTTGAAAAATCCTCCATCAAATACCTCATCCAAAAAACAATTTGTATTTAGAACACCATATCTATTACACATAATTTTTTGTTCTTGAATGCATGGCACATGCCACTGACTGAGCTGCTGTGTCCCTACTAAGATGACAGCTGGATAGCTGGAGCACTACTGACGCTCATACATTGTCAAAGCCTTTATTTATAGGCTAAACAAACCTTAATTAAATAAGGAAACACGATGTACAACCTGATTGACACTCAACACACATAAAATATACAGTTTGACCAGCAAGTGAAGTTAAGAGATTCTAATTAACGGCCTCAATGATGTACATTTCGGCCTTAATCACCTTCCATCATAGGTTATTTCTTCTGGTGATTGTTAATTGTCCAGATTAATGTAATTACTATCATATTTATAATTAGGCCAAGTTTGGCAACATCAAAATAATTCATTTTTTTTATCTTTTTATCTTTTTTTCATCACATCACCTCTCTGCTTTTCTGCACATCTTTTCGTAAAAAGACAAAAAGTACACTTATTTAAGTCATCCCAAACAACCCCTTAATCTGTTATCAATTAACTAAAAAAAATTAAGTAGTCCAACCCAATGAACCTAACATTAGAATTAAAAACAAACAAATAAATAAATCCTCAATACCATCTCACTTAAACAACAAAGTAAATGAGCAATTAGTAAAGTTCTTTTACTTATTTTACATAAATGCTTTTAGTATAAAAAAAATTGTAAATTTTTATAACTCAAATTGAATACAAAAAAAATCTGTTTAATCATATATATTTTGATTTTTTTTATGTCGATAGAAATTAATTTTGAAATTCATATTTTCTTTTCAAATTAAGATTTTATTATCAGTAATAATATAAATTCAGACTTAACTGTTCAGAAATTATCTAAAATTATTCAAATTTATTTTACACACAGATCTCACACTATATAAATTTAATTTCCACCAAACAATCATCCACCTAAAAGATTCTAAATGGATAAATTTGGTGACCAAACTTTCCTTTTATTACAGGGCGAATTGCACTAATGATTTTTATAGTTTCATTTTTTTTTTTGATCAGAAGAGTAATTTCCATTAAAGTAGCCAAACGGCACTTACAAGGATATGAATCCATCCAACATAATCTTACACCATCAAAAGAAAGATGAAAATCAAAGAAAAAACAGGAGTAAACCTATGAAGAATACCCAGCTGCACAACAAGTGCTTGTGCTCGTACTGCAAGCAGAGGCTAACAAACGGCCGTAGAGCATGCCGAGGATAGATCATAGATTACAACCACAATGTGGGTAAGCAATACTAAGCACAGATGGATTCCAGAAACAAAATCAAACCAAAATAAAACATAAACAAAATGAATACCATAATTCAACCGCAAATCAGATCGGTAGTAGATCTGTCCTAGATCTACACCAAACGAGTTGGATGAGGAGAACCCAGGAGACTAGATGGTGGAGGCTGTAGATTCGGCGAGAGGTGGAAGATTTGGTGACGATGTGGTGGTGGCGGCGCTAGTATGAAGCTAAGAGGAGGAGGACGAGGGATCTGGTGAAGGCTTCAACTGGGGTAAGGTAGAGGAGAAGTGGAAGTGAAGAAAAACAGACGAAAATCTACTATAAAGGGAAAAATACCTCACAAGGAGGGAGCAGATGAAAAGCAAAGCTTCCAAAGCTTATTGACCAGAGATGGCAGACGGAACGGAAGAAAGAAAGGGGTAGAAAGGAGGAGACAGGCGACTGGAGGCTTGAGCGCTCATCCCCCCACCCCAACGGCGCGCAAAAAACGAGAACCCTAGAAGCAAGAAAAAGGGTTAGAGAGAAGCTATGTATTTTAAGAGAGTTGTTGTAACGATTCTTATAGTTTGGGCCTTGTGTTACTTTGGTCTCTAACTTTTTAATTGTGACACATTTGATCCTGTATTTTGAATTTTGTTCCAAATAAGGACAATTGAAAATACCATTACTCAATTTTAAGGGTAAAGTCGTCATTTTGATAAAATATAAACTAATTTGAGAAAAATAAATGTCAAAAAAATATTTTTTGAATTTTTAAAAATTATTTCTATCCACTAAAAATGAAAATTATGTAAAATTGATAAATCTTTTAAATATTTATGTATTTGTTTATTTTTACAAAATTAATTTTTATTATGTATTTGGATGATGATCATATAATGGGTGGTTGTTTTTATTTTCATTAAATTAGTTTATATTTTTCCAAAGTCAAATATGGCGACAATTTTGATATCATTATTAAACCAATCCATTAAATCAAAAATCTAAAACTAAAAACATTTCATATATTAAATATATCGATTACACATTAAAAGCCTAATAACCACCCATTACGTGATCATCATCTAAATATATAATAAAAATTAATTTGGTAAAAAAATTAGTAAGTGTAAAAAATTTATTAATTTTACATTATTTTATCTTTAGTGGGTAAAAATAATTTTTAAAAATATTTTTTTGACATTTATTATTGTCAAATTAATTTATATTTTATTAAATTGACAACTTTGCCATTGAAATTGAACAATGATATCTTCAATTGTCCTTATTTGAAACAAGATTCAAAATTTAGGATCAAATGTGTCATAACTGAAAAATCGAAAATCAAACTGACGCGAGTCCCAAACTATAGAGACTATTAGTATAATTTACCATTTATTATATAAATTCATTTTAATAAATTAAAGGACAAATTACAAATACACTCATTGAGGTTTGCTTAAAGTATAGATTCATCCATGTGGTTTGAAAAATTACAAATACCTCATTGTTAGAATTTTTTATTTAATAGAATTAACTAAAAAAATGAAATTCATAATTGCTCTCTTATACAATAATAAAATTACCTAAATTATTAATTGAAACATATGTCTAACATCATTAAAAATTGTTAATTGACTAGATGATTTATTAATAGAAGGGGTAATTTATTATGAAATTAAAAATCTTAAGAGGTGAAATGTAATTTCTAGAACCACATGAGCGATTCGTATTTTAATTAAATTCCTAAGGGGTTGTTTGGGATGATCTAAATAAGTGTACTTTTTGTTTTTTACAAAAAGATGTGCAGAAAAGTAGAGAGGTGATGTGATGAAAAAAAGATAAAAAAATAAAAAGATGAATTATTTTAAGAATGACAAACTTGGCCTAAGATGTATTTGTAATTTATCCTAAATTGAAATCTTGACTGCATCCTCCCGCATGATAGTACATTACATATGACAATTTACATGTGGTCCGGAGGTTAAAAAAAAAGATTAGAAAGTTTTTGCATTAGGATTTTTAAGGAAGGGTCTTACTATCAACAATTTTAAAACTATCAATAAATAAATATAAAATTTCAAAATATTTATAATCTCAGTATATTTTTTTATATTTTTTAATTTTTTTTTTACATAATTCAATATTTTTTTTTACACATTTCAATATACTTTTTACAATTTTTTCAACACTAACAATAATCCTAAAGACTGTTTTAGTATTTTTTTTAAGATTGTACTTATGTTATAGATTTAGATAAAGATTTAAAAAAATAATGAGAAAATGAAGAAAAAATTTAACTTATATTTTTTGTTTTTATTTATAAATTCCTATCCAAATCAATATCTAAACACAACCTTACACTGCGTTTGGATTTAACTTATATTTCATTCTTATTTGTCATTCATTTTCATTTTTTCTTTATAAATTTTTACCTAAATTCATAATTCAAACACAACAATCATAAAAAGCAACAAATTATTGTTTTGTCTTGACTCATTTGTTGGGTGGGCACATCAGATGATGGAAGCAACCCCAATCTTCAACATACTTAGGCAGGCAATTTCTTGGGGAGGCTAGGCCTTCCAACAAAACAAACTAATAATAATAATGACACAAGACATTCCTACTTTGCTTTGATTGGTGTAGTTAGTGATAGAATATACTGAAAGGTTGTTTAAGGTGTCTTAAATAAATGTACTTTTTGTCTTTTTAGATTAAAAAATTAAAGAAAAAAATATAAATATTTAGATTAACTTTGACTTTTTATGAAAAAATGTGTATTAAAAAATTATATAAATTAGTGTGTAAGAAAAAATTAAGATTGAGAGTTATGCAGTCATAATTTTTGACTTTTGGTGAATAGTGATAACTTTTTAACTTTTTGAATAACTTTTTAGATTTTTCGAAGGATGCCAAACTTGACCTAACTATCATCATATACCCGTTATATAAAATATTATATCTAAATTAAAATATCTCAATTATTTTGTAGGAGACAAACAGTGACGCATGAGTAATAGTGTTCTAACACATGACTAATCTCTACTTAAAAAAACAAAAACACATGACTATTAATCTTCGCGCCAAATGATAAAGATCAAATAAATCTCCACATGACTTCTCGTTTTTCATGAATATCTCCCCGCTATCTTCGTATTCCTAATAAGGCTTAAAATAATGCGTCTCGCTTTGGTCCAGTCCATCATCAGACGGGATCGTGCTGTTAGATCTGTGGAGGTCCATTATAGATCCCGTTTTGAAAATCTGAATCCTCAATATGTAGAACTCTTCGAGTACTATATGCCTGTAAAAAATCACGTTAATTGGATATCAATAACTATGTGATCAAATCATTTTTGTATAAAAAAAAAATAGACGGTGAATAAATTAACGGTTAACAAAAAACTGATTTGATCACATAGCTATCGATATCCGATCAACGTGATTTTTTACAGGCATATAACATTCGAAGAGTTCTACACATTGAACGGTTCAGATTTTCAAAACGAGACCCGTAGTAAACCCCCACAAGCCCAACAGCACGATCCAGTCCGATGGTGGACTGGACAAAAGCCAGACCCATAATAGAGAAAACTAAAATAAAACTTTTGAGTTTGATTGAATAAAGCAAATTTGGAAGTGAAAACCACAACTAAATGGACTCCAAGGACCTCAAGAAGATCAGGACTTCAGTGGACTTATTTGATTCTGTATGATTGAATTTTCAGATTTCGTGTTTGTAAGAGGAAAAAAACAGAAGTAAAAACAAAAAAAAAAAAAAAACACACATTATTTTCATACAATTTTCTCTTTTCCAAAGCAAACATATATATATATATTTTAAATTGTGTATATTTTTGTCAAATTAATTTTTATTTAGAGTAAAAGTTTTGAAAAACAAGTTCTGAAATCTCACCAGGTTCTTCAAGCTTGCCAGCAATACCCCAAAATTGAAGAGTTTGTGCCAGTGGGGTGTTTGCATGGCTTGTTCCCATATTTTAAAAAATAAAAAAATAAAAACAAAAAAAACCTTTAAACTAAAACAAAAAGGAAAAGGTTGCTAAACTATAGGAGAGCCTTGTAGCCAAGTGTGTTTGAAAATTAGGGTTCATACAATTATAAAGTATGAAAACATGCAAATGAATCACAGAAACACAAATAGAAAAAGTAAGGAAAACACCTCAAATCTGTCTCTGTGACAATGGGGAAATTATTCAATAATCCTGGAACACCACGTGATCATACACCAAGCTAATCACCAATTACTTAGTCCCATAATGTTCCTCCATCCCCAACATAACTCGTGGGCCCCTATCCCTCTCTACCAATCAAAACCTTATAGAATACTATGCGTCCATACTCCGGAAATACTGAATAATCACCCGTGACAACATGCCAATGTATGAAAATGATGTTGCTAAAGTTTCCAACCTTACTGAAATAATAACTTCTATTTGTCAACAAAATAAAAATATCCTTCACATTAGATCACTTTGTTGTTTTAGCATCTTAGATTTGCGAAGGAATTTGTAGAGGGATAAATAAAAGAAAAGGAATTTATGAAAGAAAACAAATATTTGATTCACTTTTCCCTTTTCTTTTTCTTTACTCTCCACAAATCCAAAATCCAAACACCACCCTAAAGTTCTCTAAGAAAAACAGAGTTGGTTACAACCCAGTTGGGAATTCTAATCACATATCACTTTCACACAAGTTCAAGGTGCCTAACTGAAAAAATATTAACTATATCACTTTCACACAATTTCATGGTGCAGAACCTAACTGGAAAAAAAATAACTATGGTTTTCTGCAATCAAACAAGCTGTAACTTTAGTTAGGGTCGGATATCAACCAACCACAGGCCAAGAACGACAATCCTTGATCTTCTCTCATAATGTACACTAATCTAATGCTGTAGAAAAAACTCTCATTTTTTCATTAGATAACGGGAATTAAATCAAAACTTATCTGTGTAGTGATGAAGACACGGACGAAAGACTAGGGCATACCAAATGTGGACAAAGCTGATTGGAACAAAGCTGAGAAGGCCGGAGACGTAGTCTGATCATCAGCTTTGATCTTTAGTTGAGCTTTACATGATGACGAGTTGATTACGCACTCTACAAGAAAGGTAGACGAGTCCTCTGCTTTTTGTGCAAAGAAGAAGAATTTGAAATTTGGGGCTTGACCACCTGAGGCAATGCAGTGGATGGACTGTCCTTGCATGTGCTGGAGGAGGGCTTGAGGGGTTGTCAATGCTGCCACTCCTTGTGGATTTATATTGTATTCCTGCAAATAAATAATAATTGAAATGGAGCTCAAAAAAAGTTTGTCGATTTACATGCACAGATACATAGTACACACACACACACATATATATATAGAGAGAGAGAGAGAGAGCATCAACAAGAATATAATCAACTGTGTTACATGGACTCTTTTATTTCCCCCAAAGTACCCGCGTCCACAGGATCTGACAAGGGTAAGAGTGTGGAATATGTGTCTACATCCGCACCCAATTTAGACACTCAGATCTATATTTTGTTACAATATATGAAGAAGAAAAAACTCGCATTTGCTAGTGAAACAATATTTTTAGCCTCTCACATGAATTAGAGCAAGAAATTTTATGTTTTTCTTGAATTCTATTTTATTTCTAGTATATTTCTATATAATTTACAACATCTAATCTAAGAATATTATACAATATGCAATATATATATATACATATATGTATATGATGCATATTTCCATACCCATATCCAATTTTGGATATGTTTCCCAAGGGCCTAAGATTTTAGTTTATGAAGGTTTGACACTTGGATACACATCCGCATCCGATAATTGTATTTGATACTCGTACCCAAGTCCACGTAACGTAAATAATCAATGTAAATGGACAATAATCAAATTAGTGATACAAAGTTCAAAGCAAACCTGTGATACTGATATTGGTAGTTGGCGCCATTTCTGCTGAAAAGTGCTTGGATCTAGAACAGATCTTGCATTAAGCTTCAAAGGTGGTGGTGAAGGAGCAGGATTAGGTGCAATTGCCAATCCTAGACCGAGGAGATCATCAATGGCCAAGCTGGCTTGCTCAGAATGTGCTGGTAATGGTTGATTTGTAGAGGCATCATATGAAGGAGCACTATATGCAGAACCATTGCTACTGGGAACTCTACTTTCTTCCTTCTCTGAAGTACTTAGAAGGAGATCGTTGTCATTTGCCTCGACCATCTGGGCAGACACTACATTACTGACAGATTCAACTCCAATGGATAGATTTCCTAGTTCTTCTGAAAAAGCAAATGGGCCTCGGTGCTCCTTATCAGTAAACATGTAGGAAGGCTGCAAAATTTTCAGACTTACAATTAATGTCTATATATCAGAATAATGCTCTAATGTTCACCGATGTTACAAAAAAAGCAACATGATTAATTTTGGCAATGCTAATACATTGGCATTTATCAAGTACCTGCATGCTTTCAGTTTCTAAATCACATACAGATGGCATCCCGTGGAAACACACCCCTCATGGCAATGCGCAAACGTAAGTGTCAGATTATCGCATGTTCAAAGCACATAAATCTCAATAAGAAATTGTTTCAGCTATTTATAGTGTCAATTTCCAGCAGAATTATACCAGGAAAAAAGGGTAATTAACCTGCTGGACTAATATCCCTTCATCACAGGTCTTACACAACAAAAATTAAAATGTCGGATCCCAAAGTTCATAACAAAGAAAGTGTCCTCTTGCATGTTAACAAGCAATATTTTTTCTCTTCTTATTTGTCTTTTTTCTCAAATTCTATCAAGGTGAGCAGCTTAATAAGGTATACAAGCAAAGGCGCACACTTTAAACTCTGCCTACGGTACAAACACCTCAAAAAATTACCAGATAGAAGGTGAAATATGTGAGGCATAAACATTGTGGTGAAAATTGTTTGAAAGCTGTGTATTATATCTCAAACACTATAAACTTTCCATGGACCAGGGGACATAGAATCCTTCCTGTCTAATTACGACCTTCAGGTTTGACTATGAATTTTTTCTTTCATAAACTAAAGATACATATTGTATGAGTAAATTTCAAGTGTTAAATTTGTCACTTATTTCAAAGTGAATTACAAAGTGATTCCCAATGCATGAAAATTTAAAATGAAAACTTATGTTCAAAAGCCTCTTCCAATATCTCAGTCTCCTCTTCACAATATCTACCATTATAAAGACCATAACGCTGGTACAAAAATAATATTTGTCTACAGATCTTGCAAAGGTTTGTTGAGATTCAAGATTTCAAGTTACCTTCTGGTATATAACGGATAGACTGTTGAATTCATCAAATATCCGATCTTTGATTTCACTACTCTGAGTATCTGCAAAGACAGAAACGGCTTGCTTCGGAGGATTCACCACATTTTCTGCTACAGAAACATTATATTGCAAAAGTCTGTAGTAGAATAAGGCTCTATCATGAACATCCTGCAGCCAACCAAGAGTCAAAAACACTGACAAACTTCAATCAAAATTTCTAAGCTTATGTAAATAACACAATTATCAACCCAAACCTGATGAAAATCAGCAAGACCAGCAGCCAAAGCAACTCCCAAGGCTTTCTGAGTCTCAGGTGGCCTTCTCAAGAAACACTTCATTACGGCTGTAAGAAGATGCAAACGAACCTGCGAAATAATAGAATCGAAAACTCAAATGATGCAGCAATTAACAATACAATACTAATGATCTAATTTTCTAGAATCCAAAAGGCAATAAATTAGCATTTGAATACACAGTTTAGTATTCAAACATTAGTTTCAACAGAGCGCACCAAAAACACACACACACACACACACACACACAAAAAAAAAAGAGAAGTAAATGCAATCAAAGTGTTCCCTTTATCAAACAAATCAATAAATAAAAATTGGATAACTGGAATTTACTTCTTTTATAGAACAAAAAAAAAGTAAAAAACTAATCTTTCGTTAGCCAGTATTGAAGCAAATCTAAATGTGATCTCAAGTGGGAGAAGACCTTTTTAAAGAAAGTTGAGTCTAATGCACACACAAAATATTAAAGAAGAAATACGGACACACTAAATATGTCAGTGACAGAAGGTTTTGTAAACAATGGAACATTTTAACAGTGTTCCAACTTATCGAAAAATAAAAATAAACAGAAGCAGCAGCGAAACAATCGTATGAGGACCAAAATTGAGCTTGAGATTGCCATCACAGATATGGATCCAAGCGTAGTGAAATGGCAGACAGACAATTGGCTAGGCAAAGTGATGGAAACTAGTTTTGAAATGAGAATTGAAAATTGGCATGACACTCAATCTGTGCTATAAACAGAGCGGAATGGCCAAACAGATTTTAAGCAAATGACAAAATATAGCACTTTAAGTTGAGATTTGGTAATAATTTATGATCAGAGAAGATGCAAAGGTGTTGCATGTGACGAGGAATGAAGTATTGTGGAAATAGACATGGGATGCCAGGCACAACAATTCTCTACCTTCTACAGACAGGAACAAGGACATGGCCACATGTTTAAAACTGTACTGTATTAATTTTTAAAAAAAAAATACATAAATTTGTTTTGAGTTTGTGCATTCATGTGACAAACATTAAGAGTGAAAATATAAAATATTTTATAGCTTCAATGTGAAGTTATTGGACAAAAGGCATGATGTGTCTCTCCATAACAGTGTCCGTTGTCCAAACAATACCTAAGGCAGGTGGAACTCATGTCATAGGGATGGCAATAGGGAGGGTTAAGCATTCAAGCAGCCCTCCCTTGGCCCCGTGATCCCACTCGAAACTACAGCCTGGCCTGTTCAGAGACATGATTCATAGAAAGCTTAATACCAATGACATGATTCATAAGTAATTATCTTTGACTTCCACAGTGGTGCATCTTATGTAGGAAGCATGAAGAGAGTATTTATTGACCATCTACTTTTGCATTGCCACATGGCTTTGCCATTATGGCGCAAAGTAGAAATTTAACATAAAACTTACAACCAAGGAACAAAAATATATCTTACAATATATTTATATATAAAATACATAAATGTTCTCCTAGATGCTCCCAACATTAGACTCTTCTAAGTGCCCCCGCCTCTGCTTCATGCAACTAAGATCCAAAACCCATAAAATCCCTCGCTGTTTGGTATGAAAAGTTCCATCCCTGCCTTTACCTGGATGATGCACATACTAACTTTGTCCAAACCGTGCAAAGTATCTGGTTATACCAATCTGGCCATCCCTATGTCAATAAGCAAAAGAACCACACAAAGTTCATGTGGGAGGGGGAAAAAATGAATAATTTAGCAAATCTGCACTATTTCTAATTGTCCTAAATTTACTTGTATGTATTCTCTCAGCCTTTTATGACTTCACCTTTAGGTAGTCAGAAGTGAACCTGCCCCATGTTGAACTGATATCATTGTCAATCAAATAAAGTTTAAGAAGGCGGGCAGCTATCCAGATAGAAATTTGTGAGTTTGTGTGTGTTGGATATTTATTTCCAAAAAAAATCAGGTCTTCCACAACTTTTAATCAAAGTCCCAACTTGTTTAAAAATCTGCTTGCCTTTAGGTGGCTCCAAAAGCAAAACCCAAAAACAGTTCATAGGACTGTTATAAGGAGAATCTGTGTCTAGATTTCAAAGACATCAAATCAACCTTTTGCATTTGGCAAACTAAAAGATTCCTCAACTCAATCAGCCAAGCATATTAGTTAAAAAGTAAAAAGTAAAAAATAAAAAAAAATCCAATCAATACTGACTCTTATGAGAAAAGCCCAAATGAAGGTGCAACACGTTAAGTAACATAAATAAAGTTCACCCTTGTGATACCTCAGCAGAATGCTCATCATCCCAGCTGTCAATTAGACTTTCCAAGACATAAGGAGCATCCTGCATGTCTTGACAATACTCTCCCAACATCCAAATAAGAGCTGCCTTAGCTTTTGGTTCTTGAACATTTTTGCTGCTGATATTCCCAACAACTGCAATACAATCGTGGCTCCATTGAGGATATTTCCTGAGAAGATCTTTTACAAGCACCTACATCAAGAACTCTAAAGTTGTAATAATCTGGACAACAATACTAAGAAAGTTTAAATTGCACGCATTTACAATTTCACATTGTTGGCATTGGAGATATTATCAAATTGAACATTGCAAGTGTTCAGCAAGCACAGAAAAATTTTACCAGAGTTTCAGCTGTCACATAGTCCTTTTCCATCTCCAGAAACTGAAGCAGTCTGTCTACAATAGCATTCACATCATACTGCTGCAGAGCTATTTTCCCAACAGCTCGAATTGACTCTCTTGCAATGGGAATATCAACATTTGCAGCATATTCACATAATTCTGTCACTGAAATGGACTCAACAAGATTACAATGCATCAGTCATACTTGAATAGTTCACAAGAAAAGACAACACCTGCGACCAAAAAATGGGTCACCAACAAGGACAAAAAGATTTGCCCATGCCAGCTATTTCTGTGAAGCATTATGTGACTGCTATGGTATTTCACTTACCAATTTCATAAGTATTGCTCTCATTGGCCACCGCAGTCAACATGTCAAGCTTCAATTTCTTAACATAAAATGGATCATTGTATTGGCAATAGAAGTGTTTGTAGTCTGAAGAAAATAACATAGGTGCACGCATCACGAGAAGATGCAAGTGGCCCAGTACTGCATAAGATTGCTCTGGACTCCCTGAGCTCACTAAGGTAAGCAAAGGTGCTTTGATACGCTCATAAACCTAAAGAACAATAACATTTTGATTAAGAAAGTGCAAATCTTCTCAAATATAAGGAAGAGATCAAAGACAGAGCCCAGCAACCCTAATATAACACTTGTGAAAACTGTAAAATTAATTGTAATGAAAAGCAACCAATAAAACTGGATTGAAGACTATTACTTTCATACAATATGTATATTCAAAATTTAAAGATAGAAATAAGATTATAAATTAACAATGGATTTCATAAGGAGAATATAAGAGCAAATGATTTAAACAGATGAACTACAACTGAAAAAGGTCATCATCTCACATCAGCATTTAACACCAATAACACATTGATAAAATATAGGCTATATAGCACAATGATATATACGTACATAAGCTGGGGGAGGGTGCATTACCAATTCTGTACTTTATGTGAAGGAATTACTCATGGACTCAAGCCCAAGAACAGCTTATATTACTGGAATTGAAGTTGAAATATCTAGGGAAGTCGGGATGCATCACATGAAAGATTAGGTGCAGCTTAGCTGTATTAATTAAGCAGTATCAACTATAACAACAGACCGAACTTTGAGATTTCTGTTCAATATTTAGGTAATTATTATTACCCAATGTGTGTACCCAGTGTGCAAGGCTCCACTTACAGCAGATTCTAGGTCTTACCCCACTTTTTGAATTAGCTATGTAGTTAACCAACTACATGGAAAAATAGCACAGCCAATTAAAAACTGAAAATTTTTAATCTGACTGGGGCTTTCGCTCCATCAAATGTACTTTCTCGGACCCGATAGACAACCACATCAAAGCAATGAAGGGCCATTCAAATGAGAGACGATATATAACATATTTTGGTGGGTTTTCCAATTATTTAATTTCTAAACAACAATCATAGCTTCTCTCATCTGCTGTTTTGAAAGTACACATCAAAGCAATGAGGGGCCATTCAAATGAGAGACGATATATAACATATTTTGGTGGGTTTTCCAATTATTTAATTTCTAAACAACAATCATAGCTTCTCTCATCTGCTGTTTTGAAAATATAGTATACACGCCGCAGGAAAGCACTAGAGAGGTGGGCTTAGTGGCATCGCAACTGTGAATGGACTGTTTGCTTCCTGTTTGCAGTTCTCAGATGGGTTGAACTTCTTGCATGACATTCTTCCCCTAAATCTTTGTATTACTTGCTTTTTTGAATTCTTTCTACCCCTAAGGATGAGAATAGCATGAAAATGCTGTTTTTAGCCTGTATGTCCTTTCTTCTTATTACTTTTTAAGCTGAAAATCAGTTTCACATCCTTGTGCTATAAGTGCTAGGCAGTCAACTTCATGGAGCTTTGTGGGTCTCTTTACACTCCCGATTGACTTCATAGAGCTTTTATTTGATGGCTGTACCTTCAAAAACCATGGCCCCTAAAGGATTTGCCATTTGGTGTCATGGTCAGCATTTAAGGGGAAAAGTTTGTCCTATTTTCTGGTTGCACAGTGCGTGTTCAATCATGCTGAGGCATGCACTCTTCTGACATGCTGAAAGAGGTCAAAGACTCACTTGCTAATTTTTCGACATGAAGAAATTAAAAAGAAAAACCACAATGCAGAGTTGATCCCACCACTGCAAGGTGCAAGAAGTACTTTGTTCATCTGGGACTCCAAGCCATCTATTGCCACTGTAAATTGGACCAGAATAAACATTTTAGAATAGGCCATATTTTTGTTTATGATATTTTTCAATTGGCCTTTCCTACTTATCCTTTCTTTTACTGGTAATTTTCCTCTTAAAGGCTGCACAGTGTTCAAGTTCTCTGGTCTCCCTTTCATATATATTTCTTCATTACTCACTGAAAAATATAAAATTTGATTATATTTCAGCATGAATGGAACGCAGGTGCAACAATCCTATGCACTATAGAAGTCAAAATTGCAAGCCACTACAAATTTCTATTTTAAAATAAAAGTCACAGTGCCTCATTATGTAGATAATTTATAAACTATAATCATGAAGCACGAAGTATTACAACTTGAAAGCCTCATAGGATTCAGAAGATACCAAATTAACTCATGGCATTTAGATGAATGATATTAACAGGCAACAACCAATGCAGCAAAAATTGGAAGGATGATCAAAACTCAAATAGCAACACATCAAAAAACATCACTGATTGACAAATACAATGGATCTCCTGTACAATAGAGACTAATAACACACTACTCCATAATACTTGAATTAATAGATCAGTAAAGGTATGTTTTAATATGAACCAGCATATCAACATTGCTTGAATTAAATGATGAACAAAGAAATGTTATTAATGAGCATCCTCTCAAGAACATTTAGTAACAAACTTTATCATTATTACTTGAACCAATAAACAAAACAATGGAATATCAAGACAGACACCTGTTGATGAACATCAGTCATGGACAACGTCAACTGCAGAAACAACTTAATGGTTGCTAAGACAACTGCACCATTTGCATGTTGAAGTCTGTCTTCGAGAAGATTCATCATGTCAAATATCTCATTGGTATCTGCAGGTACATATTTGGAAACCAATTCAAGGACGAGACATTGGGCCCATTCGGTGAACTCCTTGATTCTGGATATAATAACGTAATAAAGTTAAAGAATCTTCAGTTTCTCGTTGATCAGATCAAAAGGTCTTCCATTGAACTTGAAAAATCCTCCATCAAATACCTCATCCAAAAAACAATTTGTATTTAGAACACCATATCTATTACACATAATTTTTTGTTCTTGAATGCATGGCACATGCCACTGACTGAGCTGCTGTGTCCCTACTAAGATGACAGCTGGATAGCTGGAGCACTACTGACGCTCATACATTGTCAAAGCCTTTATTTATAGGCTAAACAAACCTTAATTAAATAAGGAAACTAGCAACCTTAATAAAATAGGAAAACTAAATATTAAAGAAAACTGAATACTGAATTAAATATTAAGTAATAAGGACAATATTTAATAAAATTGAAAATAAGGCCTCCGACGCTGGTCCATAAATATCATTCTGCATCAACCCTTCATTATCTTGCATAGCCATCTCAAATCCCCCTCCAACAACTTTTTACCAATCTTGTCACACCCTTCTCTCTCTCTACCAACCCGAAACCCTTTTTGAGACCATCATCTTCGTTGATCAGATCAAAAGGTCTTCCATTGAACTTGAAAAATCCTCCATCAAATACCTCATCCAAAAAACAATTTGTATTTAGAACACCATATCTATTACACATAATTTTTTGTTCTTGAATGCATGGCACATGCCACTGACTGAGCTGCTGTGTCCCTACTAAGATGACAGCTGGATAGCTGGAGCACTACTGACGCTCATACATTGTCAAAGCCTTTATTTATAGGCTAAACAAACCTTAATTAAATAAGGAAACTAGCAACCTTAATAAAATAGGAAAACTAAATATTAAAGAAAACTGAATACTGAATTAAATATTAAGTAATAAGGACAATATTTAATAAAATTGAAAATAAGGCCTCCGACGCTGGTCCATAAATATCATTCTGCATCAACCCTTCATTATCTTGCATAGCCATCTCAAATCCCCCTCCAACAACTTTTTACCAATCTTGTCACACCCTTCTCTCCCTCTACCAACCCAAAACCCTTTTGAGACCATCATCTTCGTTGATCAGATCAAAAGGTCTTCCATTGAACTTGAAAAATCCTCCATCAAATACCTCATCCAAAAAACAATTTGCATTTAGAACACCATATCTATTACACATAAGTTTTTGTTCTTGAATGCATGGCACATGCCACTGACTGAGCTGCTGTGTCCCTACTAAGATGACAGCTGGATAGCTGGAGCACTACTGACGCTCATGGGTTATCGGGCAGTGAGCCCAAGGACAACCTAAAAAAAATGTGCTAAGAATATGACCGACCAGAGAATAGGACCAGTTGAAACGGGAAGTCAAAATCTAAGAAAGCAAGCTAGAATAAATAATTAGAGCCGTGTAGATGGGGAGAAAGGAAGGGAAGGCATCTAGAGCTACTAAGGTAATCTCAAGCATTTTCTCGATGGCCATATATTTTGGAACAGCCATGCTGTTGGTGGGCACCACCTAGTTCATTTCATACAATATTTTAAAATTGAGCTAAGTTTGTTGCAATCAATGACTAGTTGAGATACAAGGTTGAGAAAGCTGATCTCTTAACCCTTTGTTATTTCTGTTAGTTGGTTAGATGTAGCCTCAATCTTCTCTTGTTTAAGCAAACCTACTAACTTGAGATTGTCTTTAAATAGACTCAAGTATGAGTGCGTATCTAGAGGTCGAGCCCATCAAATCTCAAATTCTAGAGCACGTGGACTCGGCAAAAAATGGTCAATATTTTTTTATATTTTCAATGTATTATGTGAGATATAATGATATCATATACAACATACAGTGTTAATAAGGTATTTTACTTATTTTATAGCAATTATATAATAAATACATACAATGATAGTCTGACGTAAAAATATATAACAAGTGTTTAATAAAAATATCGGACACATATCACACACCCTTGTCCAACTGTCGGTTGTCCGACATGGGTATTTGATTTTTCGGGATGTATAAACTCAGGACTTTCTCCTTTTGTAATACTTTCTGCTCTTCCTGCCTCTCCTACTTATTGAGATTGGAGCGAGCTTGAACTCCTTCCTCAAAAAAGTATTACAAAATTGTGTATAACAATTTTGAAGAGTCCATGTAACATAATTGGGTATAACAATTAAACCTGATTCATGCCTAAGAAAAACTTTGTAGGGCTTAAAAAACATGGCTCAACTCCCCAATGATGCTGGTTGAATTTTCACTCCTACAATGTTATGACTTCCCCGATGGGGATCCAACTACAAGAAGACAAATAGTCTGATACAACATTGCTTTGCTATCTTTCGCCTCAATTTTCTTTTTGTGATTTGACATAGAATACCAGCAAAATCTTGATTTGAATCATTGTTTTTCTTTGATCCTTATTCTTTCTTTATCCGAGAGATGATCCTAAATAAAATAAAATAAAAAATAGGTATGGAAGAAGCTATAATTGTAAACCACGATTTAATCTATGGAAGCTTTGGTTTATACATTCTTCTTAGTCTCTACTCTAGAACAATTTTTTTCGCTATTTTTTTCATGAAGAATCATGGTATACACTTTTGTGTACTAGTTAAAGCGTTAAGTATGTATCGTGGAGACCATATTCACTCTAGTACTGACGTAGGTAAACTTGAAGGGAAAGGAGAGATCACTTTGGGCTTTGTTGATTTACTGCGTGATGATTATGTTGAAAAAGACCGAAGTCGCAATATTTATTTCACTCAAGATTGGGTCTCTCTACCAGGTGTTCTGTCTGTGGCTTTAGGGGGTATTCATGTTTGCATATGCCTGCTCTAACTGAGATCTTTGGGGATGATTATGTACTACAGTTCGGCGCTTGGAATACCACTCCATTTGCTCAAGTAATAAGAGGTTCCGTGTTAATAACTCAATCGATTCTTAGAAAACATATTATATTACCGTCATCGATAATAATTAAAAATATTGACCGTATGCTATTATTACAATTTCCTGAGTGGTCTTGGGATTTAAATGAATGGAATAAAGAAATACATGTTAAATGCACCTATAATGGTGTTCAATTATCAGAAACAGAATTTCTGAAAAATTGGTTAGATCACCAAGAGTCCATAGGGAGCTAAGTCCAAGAGATTCACACTAATGCCTTTTCGTCTGACCTGATACAATTTCTGATTGTTATTAAACATGAAAATCCAAAGAAAAGGGTTTAAATGAGAAAATGATAAGTCCAAATAGTCATGAAGATGGATCTGAGAAAGAAGATTTGAAACATTTGACCTAGTACTTAATCAAAAAGATATTGAATGTCAGATCTAAGGTTAATCTTGAGCAGGTATGAATCAAAAAAGAGGCTGACTTTGGCTGTTTATGCACTGGTCTAGTATATTTTAGTTGATTTATCCATGGGCCATGGCCTTTCAAGTTCTAAAATCCTACAAGAGTGAAATTGTGAAGTAAAAGAAGCTGAGACAAGCTGTTTTAGACAAGTGGATGAGGTTTCCCTAGAGTTGAAGAGAACTTAGCTGCACATTCAGCCTTAGCGCGATCATGATATTTGACTCAGTTTACCACAAAGAGGGCCCACCAGGTGACTAAGTGATACATAAATTGATTCATGCTAATGGAAATTGACCAAATGTTGTTCTCCAAATTATATCATCCGAAAAAAACATAATCTTTACATCTTAAATGCCAAATACTGTCACAGAGTGCGATTAACAGACATTGAATTCAGCTAATAGGTCTGTTATGGTTCATAAAGCTGAAAGCAAGTAAATTCAAATGTCGTACATGTAAAACTATAAAAGTGATTTTAAATTCACCAAACTATACACTTCAACAACAATGTTTCCAACTATCCACGAAGAAAAATACTTATAAAAAGCTATCCACAAAGAACAATATAATGACAGAGAAAGTGCTTCCATTGTATAATCATTAGTATAAATGTCATCGTCCAAAATCCAAATGGCCCCTTAAGCCACAAGTATAACCAAAATCTATAAAACTTACCAGAGAATGCAAGCATGGTTTTTATGCCATCAAATATAACAAGCGTAACAGTATCATTAGGTCCAACATAACGTCAAATGACATAAGTAGTTATTTACAAAATTAATAATTTATAGTCTAATAACTGAAAAAACATACCTGTTCAGAAAGTAATATACCATTGGCTTGCTAAGTAATGCTTCTCTCTCCCTTGATGCTTCCTCAGACTGACTTGCTTCCAAACTCCAGATTTCTTGTAGAGCAGATAAACTGTTTGCAACTACCTGATGAAGTAACAAAATGGAAATGCATTAATTACGAAACAAATGATCATTTCCCCATCACATACACCTATAAGAGTTAAGACTTAAGGAAGAAGAGTAACTTATTTATTAAGTACAAGAATAAAAATAACTATGTTATTTAAATAAATTAAAAGGAGAAGAAAAATAACCATGTAACCCACTTTATCTACGAGAGGAATCAACACAAATGAGTATCTCAACACCCAAAACATGTCTACATTGTTAAGGGGGAAAAGCCTAAGCACAAAAGAAAGGGGAAGATGTTAACGAATAAAAACATAAGGCATCACAATAGAATAATCATTGAGAATTTTGGATACCAACCGTTGTGCAACTGATGTTTGCCCAAGTTTTGGTTTCTAGTTAGATAATTACCTCTAACAGTCGAGACAATCATGCAATATGTATACTTGTAAAAATGTAACCAAGTGGTAGCATCAATGCGAGAACCTAAATTTCACTACTTTGATTTCTTTATTCCCAATGTCATCAGCCCACTTGAAGTCATGCAAACATGAGCAACAAATACACACATAATCTTAAATTCCTCTTTTTGCCATATTATTTCTTTCTCTTTTTATTTATTTATTTATATTTTTTTGGTAGTGGTTCATTGAAGGTTTGCAGCAACTTAACTGATACACATAAATACCTCTAAAAATTTATCGTTTTGATTCATTGAAACTTAGCAGCAACTAAACTTACATGCATAAACATCCACAGAAAAGAGGGATTATTAAATAACATGAAACAGACGTATAATTGAGATGAGCCCACCTGAGTATCGGGATCATTAAGCATCAAGTGCTTAAGCATTGCCGGAAAATCCGCATCAATGCAAGTCGCAGCTGATATATGATACAACTTCAAAACCCCAATGGCCGCCACAGTCCTCACATAACTATTCCCATCTTTCAACCCCAATCCCAACGGCCCAACCAAATACTCCACCAAATTGGCCACTCGCAACGAACACAAACTCCTCAAAGCCAGGCCCCGGATCATCGGATCCTCATCCTTACAATCCCTCTGAAGAAAATTAATGGTAAGCAGCGAAAGATCGGGATTGCACTTTGCATAATTTCCCACATACAAATAACACATTTTCTTAAGAACAATGTCCGAAGTAGCCGAACACATGACCATCTCACTAAAAAGCGACGAAACGTCGATCCCGATGGTCATGTAAGAGATCACCTTCTTGAAAAGCTCTCTCTTGGAGTCATCAGTCCCGGGAGCCCGGCTGCCCGCGAGCTGCCGGAGCTGCATTTTGAGATCCGAAACCTCCCCTTTTCTGGTGGAATTAGGGTTATTACAATTAGAATTATGCAAAACATCATATGATTCTACAGAAGAAGAGGCAGTATGTGCTTGTGCTTGTGATGTAGATGAAGAGATAGAAAGATGAAATCTCATCACCATTTTAACTATCTGTTACACAGATCATGCATACATATATATATAAACAGAATTATATATTGAATTTAACAAAATTAGAATTATAAAAGTGAAATTGTGGTGAATAGTGATGGCAATTGAGGACAAATTAAGAGTCAGAAAGAGTAGGTCTAGAATTCTCCGTCGAAGGAGACGTGAAGAGAGAGAGTACCCGGAGGGTTGAGAAGGTGAAGGAGAGCGATGAGATTGAGCTGGAGGAGCCATTGTCGTCGAGATCGAGGAATTGAATTGAATTGAAATCGACAGTTTCAGAACACAAAAAGAGAGAAGACTCTCAAGGGATCTGATCTGAGAGATGGTCTGGCGCTGATAATCTCACCCGGGAATCTGACGGGGAGATTTTTCGATTGGCTGGGGGACTGGATCGTCCAGGGTTTGTTGGTATATTATCTGTGTAAAAAAAATGTTAATCGGATATTATATATTTAGATATTTTTTTATGGACAATTAATTTTTTGATTGCTCATTTTTTTAGATAAAAGTAATTCGAATATATAATATTTGTTATCTAAATAAAATAATTTTTTTTATAAGAATAATGCATTCAATAAATTTTAAAATGTGAACAATTTAAATTATAAAAAAGAAACCCAAAAATAAGCCCCATAAACTGAACTAGACTGAACTAACAGGTGACAATCCGAACCCTTTTCGATTAATGTCTGCCTGGTGAGGTAATAATGCGCATCTACAAATCTTTACTCACTTGTTTTATTAAATTTGAATAAAAATTTAAGTAGAAGTTTTATTTGATATCCCATGTTTTGATGGAATTTTATCAAATTATTGGTTGACCAGATAGTATAATTTTTACACAAATTTAAAATATGTTATGGGTAATTTTTTTACAAAAATTTGGCCGATTGTATAGTGATGTTGTACTATTTATAACTCTAACGGCTATAAATAGTAAATTGGGAAAAACTACAGCCATTTTTAATTTGATGAAAATTGTAATATATCTTGAATGTGATATTGATTTGATAAAACTATTGAAGCAACAAAAATATATTTTTTTCTTCAAATTTAAATTTGATAAAAGAAAAAAAAAATGTTGGATTGAAGATGATCGTAGAAAGAAAAAATTGGTAAAAAGTAAAAGTTGTAGCAACTTAACAAAGATTGTGGGTTGGTTTGGGAAGAAATTTTTTAATCTGATTTTTTGGTTTTGTAATTAATATAGTTATTAAATTAGGTCTATCAGAAAGAGAGAGAAAAAAAATGGTAGGAAGTAAAAGTTGTACAAACCTAACAAGATTGTGGGTTGATTTTGGAAGAATGTTTTTAGTTTGATTTTTTAGTTAATTTAATCTAGTTAAATTAGGTCTATTTTGGTAACACGTTAAAAGTCAATTTTTTAATTTTTTGACTTTTTTTAGTCATATCATTTCTCTACATTTTTGTATATTTTTTCAAAAAATGTCAAAAAAAATGGCCAAAAAATCAATTTTTAAACTACTTTTCAAAATAGGCCTTTTGTTTCAAAAGAATTTTTTGATTTTTTGACTTTTTTACTCTTTTGTAAGAGAAAAGTGAAATAATTATGATTTAAATGTAATATTTTATCTTATTAATTTATTTAATTTGTTTTTGTCTTTTTTTACTTTTTTAGTTCTAACTTAAATCCAACTTACTTGTCAAACGAGAATTGTGTATGGTTCAAATTGGTTTGATTTTGATACAAGTTAATATTAAATTATTAGGAAATTTTATGAAAAATAAAATCAAATTGAATTATGAAAATTTTATAGTCAAATCAAATAAAATTATAAAATTGCAGTTCAGTTCAATTTAAAATTATATTTTTTATAAAATATTGTTATCGTGCACAATATAATCATAATATGCTCAAACATCAAACAAATATGTCATCATTTTATAAATAATAATTATTAAAGCTAATTTTGTCAGTATAGAATAACATTCGCAATAGAAGAGGGTTAAAATTTTATAAATATATATGGAATATTAATAAGATACTCGAGTGTTTATAACAAATAACAAATTATATATATGTGTATATAGATATTTAAACTGCCCGGGTTGATTTCAAACCGGAATCATAACTATAAAATCATAGACCAAACTGTGGAATACGGTTTGTCTATTTTAAGAATCAAGATCGAATCGTGCATTGAAAAACCAAACCAAACAAAGTGATTTGAATTGGATTAGACCGACTTACTTTTTTTATTATTATTATTTTGCTCACACGAAAGTTAAAGGGAAAGAAAATAAAAATAAAATTGCAATTATTCGATTATAGTAAAAAATTTACAAGCTTGATGTGATATGAAAAAACTCTTTCATCAAATTTTTATAAAAATCTTTTTAAAAATTATATTTTTCATAAAAAAATTATCTCCAATACTTTATATCATTAAATTTTTATGAAATTTAGTTTTGACGAAAGATTTGATGAATTATTAATTTGATGACAAATATGTTTATCCCTCAATTTGATAAACATTTGAAGAAAACATTTGATATACTTTTTGAGCACTTTTTCATTAAATTTAAATTTGATGAAATAAAAAATATTAAGGATTGCAAATGCTTTAAAGGCAAAAGATGTGAGGGGCCTCTCGAGAAGGAAGTAGAGGTAAAGGTGGGGGAATGAGTGGAGTTGTCGTTGATGGTGGTAATAGTACAGGGGGTGTTTAAGGAAGAGGTGTTAGGGAGCAAGCAAGGATGTTGCATGATTATGAATCTCTTTCTACATTGCTTATAGATCTTGATAACTCTTTATATCTATCGATGGTGTTCAAGAAAGAGGTGTATGAAGTAGGCGAGGATGTTGTAGATTTATGAATCCCTCTCTACATTTCTTCTACATTCTGATAATTTGTTGCATCCGTTAAGGGTGAAAAGGGAGGGGAGAGTTATGTTAGGAAGGGGAGGGGCTCAATTAGTGAGAAAATGGCGAAGGGCTAAAATGGAAATAGAGGGATAAGGGATTACGATATCGATAACGATAATAGGCTCCATTTCGACTTGTAAACTTAAAAAGAAATTGAGAGAAAAATAGGTTTAAACCATTTTAAATATTAAAAAAGCAAAGCTCATGGATTTGTTCAACATCAGTTTCTAACAAATTAAAGATATGAAATTTAAATTAATAAAATTAAAAGGGCAAATTACAACAATGGTCCCTATAGTTTACCTGTGGTTTCATTTTGGTCTCTGTACTTCTAATTGCATCAACTTTGCCCCTACAATTTGGTTTTTGGCTCTATGTGGTCCAATAATTAACCATCATTGACTTTTTGGACGAAAACCCACGCATGCCTTGCACGCACGGGATAAAACCAGTCAATCCGTAAATGAAACCACCAAGGGAAGGTCTCTCTCTCTCTCTCTCTCTCTCTCTCATCCATTTCTCTAATTTATTTCTTTTTAGTTCTTCATTCTCCCCCTCTCTCTCTCTGAATCAAACCCTTCTTTCTCCAAAACCATCAGTGGCAGCAAAAAAAATTAAATTCAGAAGATTAAAACCACAATTTTATACTTACAATTCATCGCAAACCATTAAGCCTTGAGTTAAATAACAAAGAATTCCCAGTGTTTTACTTAACTATGTGTGTGTGTATGTATAGATACATCTCACCATTTCAATTTTTTTTTTCATAATTTGAAAAAAAAAAAACAATCAATCCGTAAATAGATAAAAAAAAAGGTGTTCTTACAATGATTTCAAATTCAAATCTTTATATAAGGATTATATGGCAATGCAAATTGGGTTTGGATTTGTAAGGAAATAATGAAAGAAAATGGTGTTGGAGCTAATGATGAATAAGAAGGGGGTTTATATAGAGATGGTGTAGATTGAAAAAGAAAGGGAAAAAACAATTCAAATTTCCCTTTGTCCTGGGTTTTTTTTCAAGTTGTTCCTAGGGAAAGTTAAAGAGAGAGAGAGAAAGAGAGAAAAGGGATGAGAGAATGAGAGAGAATGAGAGAAAATGAGGAGGAAATCGTTGTTGAATGACTGAAACAAGGGGAAATTTGTATATTTTCCCAACAAGACAGAAGTAAAGAACATACTAATCAATTGCAAATCATAATAAATTTCTCCAACTAGTAAACAAAACCCACCATCCAAATCCATCAAACAAAGATCCTAATTACAAGTTTAAACCCATATTACTCATAATATCTAAAACCCTCAATCTCCTTTCCCAGCACCTCTTTTGCCAAGTTCTTCAACCTCGCATTACGAAGCTCAATCATGCCGCAATCAGTCGCGAAAGAGCGAAGATCAACAGTGGTGGCCACAGACAACCCATAATCCTTAATCAACTTGTTGACATCAGTGTGAATACCCACACCCACAAAAGTGTAGATAGGGTTGTTGAGGAAGTCGAAGAGGGATTGAGGGATTTGAGAGGAGTAGATGAATTGGAAGATAAGGCATCGGTGGCCGACCGCAGAGTTGGAGAGTGGCGGTGGGGTTATCGTGGAAACGGTTGTTGGGTTGCCACTTGATGTCGAGGCCGACGATGATGGATGGCTGTGATTTTGAAGATCTAGGAGTCAACGAGGAAGGGAGAGCGAGTGACAAGGGTGTGGATTTGATCGGTGAAGAAGGTTACGTCGTGGGTGTTTTTGGGTAACTGGTAGTCGACAATGCTAAGATTTGTGGTTGTTGCTGCCATTGATGGCTTTGGAGAGAGAAGGGTTTGATTCAGAGAAAGAGGGAGAGGGGAAAAAAAAAAAGACCTTCCCCTGGTGGTTTCATTTACGAATTGATTGGTTTCATCCCGTGCGTGCAAGGCATGTGTGGGTTTCTGTCTAAAAAGCCAACGACTGTTAATTATTGGACCACATAGAACCAAAAAACCAAATTGTATGGGCAAAATTGATGTAATTAGAAGTACAGAGACCAAAATGAAACCACATGTAAACTATAGGGACGATTGCTATAATTTGCCCAAATTAAAAATCTGAAAATGAAAATGAAACCATGCTCAAACAAGAGGGGAATGGGAGCTTCAATTTTTATACATTATTTTCTCTTTGTACACATCTCTCTCAATTCATATATATATATATATATAAGAAAATAATAATTTTAAATTTATATACTCCACGCACTTCTTATTCCAAATATATCCCACATAAGTACACACCACATGTAAAATTATACACACACCTAACAAACACACAACACACACCCAAATCCACATAGCACTAAACCCAAAATTGATGAAGCATTGTTTGGTGGTAAGGAATAAGCATTGTTTTGGGGCATTGTTTGGAGTGAAGCAATGTTGGATTTTACTCTTTTGAAAAACCTCCATTAAAGAAAACCTCCATTGAGGATACTCTAATGATAAGTTCTTTTTTAATTCAAATTCATATATATTTATTGAAAGTAGTTTACTATTTTCAT